ATGAGGTTCCAGGTATGACTTCTCAGACTCTAGAACCTCAAGGCTTTAACAGGCAAACAGAGTTGACAACTCCAGGTAAACAGACATGTCTTTTTAAAACATTGAGTGGGCCTGACCCTCGAAAGACAGCTTTGGCCAAGCATGATGGCTCACATCTGTAATCCCAGCACTTTGGGAGGCCAAGGTGAGAGGATCGCTTGAGCCCTGGAATTCAAGCCTGCAGTAAGCCATGCACTCAAGCCCGGACGAGAGAGCAAACAAAGTAAGAAACTGGCTCTACAAAATACATATAAAAATTAGGGGCTGGGGGCCAGGCAAAGTGGCTCATGCCTATAATCCCAGCATTTTGGGAGGCCAAGGCAGGTGGATCACCTGAGGTTGGGAGTTTGAGGCCAGGCTGGCCAACATGGTAAAACTCTGTCTCTACTAAAAACACAAAAATTAGCCAGGCATGGTGGTGTGCACCTGTAATCCCAGCTACTAGGGAGGCTGAGGTGGGAGAATTGCTTGAACCCAGGAGGTGGAGGTTGCAGTGAGCTGAGATTGCACCACTGCACTCAGGTTTGGGCAACAATGCAAGACTCTGTCTCAAAAAAAAAAAAAAAAAAAGAAAGAAAGAAGAGGGAAGAAGAAGAAAGGAGGAGAAAGAAGGCAAAGGGGAGGGGAGGGGAGCCCTGTGCAAGGTGGGAAAAAAATGAGAAAACCATAACTAAGAATTTAAGATCTCACCTTTCCTTTTTTCTTAACAACAAAAAAAGACCGTTAGAAGTAATTGAATGAATTTCAAAGGTTTTGGTAGACATGGCCATCTGCTCCTCAGTTCAGGCTGCAGGTGTAACTTCAGCTATTTCCCTTTCTGCCACCGAAATGGTGTATGTTCAGGTGTGGGAAGATCAGGCAGCTGGCTTTGGCAGAGCAGAGGCTTCAGAGAGAAAGCTAACATATTTAGATGTATATTATTATATCATGTCACCCATAGTGAGTTTCTATAATAATCCTCATAATAACCAAATCCTTTTTCTAAGCATTATCCAAAATGCTTTCCCTCATACTGTCCCATTTGAGCCTTTACAACAGCTCCAAGAGGTGGGTAATAATATTAACCCCATTTTACAAAGGAAGCTGAGGAAGTGAGTTGCTTTCAGGTCTCACAGCCCAGAAGAGCCAGAGCTGGGCTCTAAGTTAGAGCTAACTGCCTCTGAATTCTGTGCTTGGTCCACAGTGACTCACTTTAGTAGACTGCAAGTAATTTGTGCCTAAAATATGGGATAAAGAAAAAGAAAAGGTTAGACACGGTGGCTGTAATCCCAGTCCTTTGGGAGGCTGAGGCAGGAGGATCACTTGAGGCTAGGAGTTCGAGACCAGCCTGGGCAACATGGCAAAACCCCATCTCTACTAAAAATACAAAAATTAGCCAGGCATGGCGGCATGTGCCTGTAGTTCCAGCTATTTGGGAGGCTGAGGTGAGAGAATCACAGGTCAAGGCTGCAGTGAGCCCAGATTGCGCCACTGCACTCTAGCCTGGGCAGCAGAGTGAGACCTTGTCTCAAAAAAAAAAAAAAAAAAAAAGAAAGAAAAAGAAAAATGCTTTCATGTGAGGTATAGGTAGAATTTTGCTCTGGTTAAATTCAACACTGGCCAGCAGGTCCAATAATAATAAATAAATGTGGCAAGTAATAAAGTAACGAATGTGGCAAGTTTGGCTGAAAAACGGAAGTTTCCATTTATTAGTTATTGGTGTTGATCACCTGGGACTTCCTAAGACTAACGGACTTCAAAATCTTGAAAAATCAAATAGCTTATTTTTTAGCTGTCCATCAAGAGAAGGATTTGGGGTGAAGGATCTATTTTTAAAAGTCTAAAATTGAGAGCACAGGCTAGACGTGGTGGTTCATGCCTATAATCCCAGCACTTTGGAAGGCCGAGGTAGGCAGATCACCTGAGGGCAGGAGTTCGAGACCAGCCTGGCCAACATGGCAAAGCCTCATCTCTACTGAAAATACAAATATTAGCCGAGCATGGTGGCGTGCGCCTGTAATCCCAGCTACTCCAGAGGCTGAGGCAGGAGAATCGCTTGAACCTGGGAGGCGGAGGTTGCAGTGAGCTGAGATCGCGCCACTGCACTCCAGCCTCTACAACAGAGAGAGATTCTGCCTCAAAATAAACAAATAAATATAAATAAAGTCGAGGAAGAAGTTGTGTTGCTAGCAACCGGCCCAAAGGAAATAATCTGAAAAGCTAAAAAATGGGTCACCCATAGAGTGACAGCAATGGAGCCTAAGGGTCCAACTACAGTGGAGTGAATAAGTATAGTTTTATATGTTGGTACCATGAGGTGTTACGATTTTTAATGGCAGCATGTTTCGGGAGTTTCTGACAATGTAGAAGATGCTTATGAAGTGGCACTGAATGAAAAATGAGGGATATAACACTGTATATTTAGAGTGAGTTCAACTATGTTTAAAAATATATACATACAAGTGTGAAAAACTAGAAACCGTTATCTCCAAGTGGCAGGATTACTGCTCCGTTTTTAATTCCTTTTTATACTTGACTATCTTTTTTTCTCCCCCCAGTGAGCATATAAAGCTTTTACACTGCGGGGGAAAAAAAAAAAAACAACGATTGAAAACATTAAATTAATAGAATACTCTGCCTCATAAATGGAGATGAATGGGTTCTTGACTCAGAAAAGCAAGCACTAGCTAATTTATGTTCACTTTGGGGAAGTTGTGGCGGCGCCACGCAAGCCAAGCTGGGTACCCACAAAAATGTCCCAAATCCTTGGGTAACCTCTTTGCCTTTTCCTACAAGGAAAGTGGAAAATGTATCCATTTAGGGACACCGACACTAACTCCAACCACAGACAACAGCGATGCGACCCCAGGAACGTCTCTAACCTCTCTCTCTACCTCACCTTTATCATCAATAACGTGGGCATAAAACAATAATCCTAGCAGGCCCTGTATAATATGCATGACATCTACTTTCCCTAACATCCATTTCACAGTGAGGCATCACCACTGAAAGAGATTAAGCCACTTGCCCAAGGTCATGAGTGGAGTACGAATTCAAACCTGGGTCACTGGCTTCAGAGACGGGGCTCCCCCTGCTTGGCCGGGGGCCCTCCCCAGACAAATGTGCTATTTCATCTTAAAAAGGCTATACCCCAAACAGGCTGCTGTGAGCATAACAGCAACACGGCATATTACTTTGCTGAATTCTGAAATGCTTTCGTGTTGATATATTTAGACCCTTCTGTGGAAGATGAGACTGAAAAACACTGCTGATTAGATTCTGTTTTGATTTGTGAAGGGAAAAGCACCTGCCCCAGAAATCTAATTTCCTGCTGGCTTCAGCCTTTTATGAAGAGTCCACTGGGAAGGGGTTTGAGACAGACGGGGTTTGATGTGTCACTCCCGGATTTTTAGCTCTGTGACCGAAGGCCAGTGGTTGCCCCTCTCAGAGCCTCAGTTTCCACATCTGTAAGTGGGGACAGTAATCCCTACAGCTCTCAGGGGTGTTCCTGAAGGTTAAGCATGGGTACCACATCCCAGTGGGTAGAGCACTTGGGACCGTGAGTTTGGGTCCCCTGGGCCTGACTCCTGGAGGAACTCCATCAATGGTGTCTCCCTGCACTGGGAGAATTATTCACTTCTTTTTTTTTTTTTTTTTTTTTTTTTTGAGACGGAGTCTTGCTCTGTCTCCCGGGCTGGAGTTGCAGTGGCCGGATCTCAGCTCACTGCAAGCTCCGCCTCCCGGGTTCACGCCATTCTCCTGCCTCAGCCTCCCGAGTAGCTGGGACTACAGGCGCCGCCACCTCGCCCAGCTAGTTTTTTGTATATTTTAGTAGAGACGGGGTTTCATCATGTTCACCAGGATGGTCTCGATCTCCTGACCTCGTGATCCACCCGTCTCGGCCTCCCAAAGTGCTGGGATTACAGGCTTGAGCCACCGCGCCCGGCCAGAATTATTCACTTCTAAGAGGCGTGTCTGAGTGGAGAGGGCCTGGCAACCTAAGTGTCCACTCATCCTAAGCTCGCCTTTGGGAAGAGTTGTGTGCCAGTTCACCAAGCGCCCCCAAGATTCTCCCAAATACCTCCCTTGGTCTACCTGGCAGAAGTCCTCCGGGAATTGGGGTGCCCCAGCTCCTCTTTCTACACTGGTTTCTGAAGAGCCAGATCACTGGGTCTCCTAGGGTGCCTGCATGGTTTCCAACACCTTCCCATGCACCTGGCTGGCTCCAAACCCCTCCAGCACTGAGGTCTTGGCCACAGCTCTCCCAGTGCAGCCCCCCAGGGAGGGGAGGGCAGAAAGCAACCTTGCTCAGTGTCCTGTCACATGGCAGGGACGGGGGTGGGGCCCTCCCCTGGAGTGGGCAGATGAGATGCCCACAGGTGCAGACCCTGGGGAGGAGAGGAATTGGACTTCCTCAGTAGGATGAAAAGTGGCAGGGAGAGGGGGCAGAGGACAGGTTCCCGGCCCCAGGAAACTCAGGTATTGGGAGGGAAAGAGGAAGAGGGTGGTACTGCCTCCTGGATAAGGTGACCAACTTTCCCAGTTTGCCCACGACTGGGGGAGTGGGTTCCAGGGATGCAGGGCTTTCCACGCTAAAACAGAAAAGCTACAGACTGCCGGTAATGAGCCTGGGCAAGTCCCGGGACATTCACAAACTGTGCCTTCTGTGGAAAGGGAACTGGGCCAGTTCGGGTCTCCGGGGTGCTTTTAACTGCCACCTGGGCTGTGGCCCCAGAAGCAGGTGGCCGGGAGGATCTGGGGATGGCAGGGGCAGGTGAGGGGAAACTGGTGGGTTCTGGAAGGCTTCTCGGCGCGGAGCTCCAGCTGCGGGGAGGCGCGGCCCCTCCCGGATAGCGGGACGGGGGAGGGGAAGAGGCGGGGTAGGTAGGGACCGGGGGCGCGGCAGCAGCAGCGCGCATGCCCGGACCCCGGACCCCGGACCCCGGGCGCCGGGGCACCGGTTGGGAGCGGAGGGCGCCTACCTGCAGGCCGTTGGGATACGCGTCGCCCTCGGAGAGTGAGTCCACCAGGTCCTCCTCGTCCAACGTGGCCCGCTTGTAGGTCGACATCTGCAAGGCCAAATGCAGCACGGACTCCCTCAGCGCCTCCATGGCTCTCGCACCCGAATGGGGAAGCGGCCCCGACCCCCGCGCCGCCGCCGCCGCCGCTGCGCCCCGCCCCAGCTAGGACACCCGAGACCGAGACCGGCCCACGGAGCGGCCCGCGCGGGGAGGGGTCCCGCCCGCCTCCCGCCCCCGCCCTCCGGGCCGCACCCGCCTCACCCCCAGCGCCGACAGCAGGGCGGACACCGGGGGCGGCGGCCACAAGCCCCGCATGCTGAGCCCCAGACGCCTGGTCCCGCTGCCCGGGTGGCCGGGATGGGATGGGCCGGACCAAGAGTTGCACCACCTTCGCGGGCGGGGCCTGATCAGTGCGTCGGCGCCCGGTTCCCAACCGCCGGCCTCCCGGGGAGACCCCAAGACCCGAGAGGCCCGGGGGAGATGGGGACCCCTCCCTTCCCCGGAGGTCGGGAGAGGAGGCCCCCAAACTGAAGCCCCTAGCAGGCAGGAAAGACCCTCACAGTGAGCTCTCCTTCGAGAAAATCTTAAGTCCCCCTTCAACAATGGGGTCCCCAGTGGCAGATAACAAAAGTCTCAGGAAGGTGCCCTCGATTTGGCCCAGAGCAATCAAGACAGGTTCCCCTCAGCATCAGCACTTAGGTGTGTCTAGGGGGTTAATGCTAGAAAGACCAGACAAAAAAGGTGGAGTAAAAAGATAGGTGTCCCCTTTCAGTTCCCCTTCCTAGCTCAGAGGCCTTTAAGCCAGTTTGTGAATCAGTTTCAGAAAATTTCTCTGAACTCCCTGACACGGGATGAAAGAGCTGTGTGTGTGCATTTGGATGGCTGCAGGGTGGTCCGGTGGTCACCCCCGTGCTCAAAGGTATCGCCCTCCCTGCAACACAAGAGAACCACTGCTCCAGGGACGTCAGAAGCCAGGAAGGGGACCCTTCTTTCCCATCTTCCCCATCAAGAGTCTGAGCCTCAGCCAGGTGCCCCCTCCCCCCAGCCCCTGAGCCCTCTCCTATAACCCTAAGCAGGGAAAGGGGGCTCTCTCAGATATGAGGTGTTCAGTTAGGGACTCAGCCCCAGCACTGTCCCAACCAAGAACCCCAGAGAGGTCTAACCCAGCAGATTTCCAAAGGACTCTCCACTTCTAGCAAGATGGGAATCCCTGCATTAATGAGTACTTTTCAACTTTGCAAAGTACATTTCTGTTCATTCCAAATGTGATTCTCACAGTCACACATATGTGTGAATAAACAGGTTTAGAGGGGTGAGGGGCCTGACATCACAGGGACAAGTGAGGGCAGTGGCCCCTAATGGTCTCCTGGCTTCCACTCCTGCCCTCTGACAGCCCCCTCGGCAGCCAGGGTGAGCTTTTAAAATGAAATCTGGCTGAAGCCAGGCGCCGTGGCTCGCTCACGCATATAATCCCAACACTTTGGGAGGCCAGGGTAGGTGCATCACTTGAAGTCAGGAGTTCAAGACCAGCCTGGCCAACATGGTGAAACTCTGTCTCTACTAAAAACACAAAAAATCAGCTGGGCCTGGTGGCATGCACCTGTAATCCCAGCTACTCAAGAGGCTGAGGCAGGAGAATTGCTTGAACCTAGGAGGTAGAGGTTGCAGTGAGCTGAAATTGTGCCAGTGTACTCCAGCCTGGGTGACAGAGTGAGACTCAATCTCAAACCAATTAACAAAAAAACCCCACAGAAATCTAGCTGGGTGCAGTGGCTCACATCTGTAATCCCAGCACTTTGGGAGGCTGAGGCAGGAGAATCACTTGAGTCTGATTCTAGGTCAGCCTGGGCAACACAGACCCCAATTTTTTTTTTTTTTTTTTACAGGTGTGGTGGTACGCGCCTGTAGTCCCAGCTACTTGGGAGGCTGAGGTGGGAGAATCGCTTGAAGCCAGGAGGTGGCAGCTACAGTGAGCTGTGATTGCATCACTGCACTCCAGCCTGGACGACACAACAAGATTTTGTCTGAGTAAATAAATAAAATAAAAATAAAATTCTGATATTACCACTCCCTTGCTTAAAACCCCTCCACTGTCCCTGGAATCAAATCCAAACCCTTCACTGGGCCCCATGGCCCCTGCCCACTCTGGGCCCTCATCTTGTGCTACCCACCCCCCCACCTCCTCATGCAGTTCCTCAGTTTCTAGTTTTCCCCTTCCCCTAAGACCTTTGTAGCTGCTGTTGTCTCTGTCTGGAACATTTTTTCATCCTCTCTACTCCTCCCATGGTCAGCTCCAACTTCCCATCTCAGCCTAGTACCTCCTCAAATGTCCCAGGAACCCTAAGCAGTCCCCCAAATTCTCCATTACAGCATCCTGTTCGTTTTCCTTTATAGTACTTGTTGCAGGCTGTTTTGTTTTGTTTTCATGTCTTTATCATCACTCTCTCTGCCCCTCCCCGGAATCCACAGCTTTACTGGGGCTGGGACCTTGTCTGGCCTGTCCAAAACAGACTTTCCGTCCCCCAGCACAGAGTAGGTGCTCAACAAACAGTTCTTAAAATCAAAGGGGGCACAAGTAGAGGGGAAGTGCCTTTAAGTTCTCAAGAATTCTCCTGCATCTAACTTCGTAATACCTACAGAAACAGGGAACACATCCAAAGGTCACAGGCCCTGGGGAGGCAGGGTGCATGGGAAGAGTCTGAATTCTGGAGACTTCTGCCTCACTCCCACTGGGTGCAAGAGTTTCCATTACCCATCCCAGAGAGAGGGGGGACTCTGAGGCTGCTTCACTTACTGCTGGGTTGCTTTTTCTAGAATAGGACACTTGGTTATACTACATACCAGGTGTCGATCGCCAGAGGAAAAGACTTGAAAAAGAAGTTCAGTTGACCGAACATCTCCCCTGGGCACTTGGGTGGTGTAAGGGATTTGTCAGTTCTTTTACACCCACCATCTCTTTTAAGCTTCTCACCCTTCCCTGGGAAGCAGGTATCACTGGTTCCTTTTACAGAGAATGAAACTGAGGTTCAGGGAAGTAACTTGCCCAGGTGCGGTTAAGCGATGGCTCCTCCTCCTTCTGTCTCATTTCAGAGATTTCCCCTTCTGGCAAGCTCTCCTGACTACCCTCCAGGGACCCCACACAGCACTTGGTCCCTGGCTCTGTGTCCCCACACAGCCACCCTACCCCATGCTGCCTTTTACTGCACACAGCATTTTAGACAGAATTCTGATGGCAGAGGCTCGGTCTTGTGGGACCCTGTCTCCTTAAGGGCTTAGGCTGGGGCTGGAACCTCTACAGATGTTTGAGCGAAGGCGGGAGGCAAGGGAGGGAGGCCGGAAGCCACCCCAGGGACTCTGATGTCTACCCTGCAGCAGCCTGTCTGTGGACAGATGATGCAGGAAGCTCACGGAACTCCCAAGCAGAAATCAGCAGAGATGGAGCACTGGTTATTTTTCAGCACACAAAAGCCAAGGGCCCCTTCCTGAGATGCCTGCCTCAGTGAAACTGAACCCGCCTCAGATGGGAAAGGCTTGGTGGGCTCTGCTTGGTGGGAAGTCCACAGTGGGTAAGTAATATTTCAATAGCTGCCTGGGGCCCTTCACCCAGGGCCTTCCATTCACTACCTCAATGGCTCCCCACACCCACCTAGGGCCTCAGCCTCACAGGTATCACTTCCAGCTTACAGAACGGGGGAGGGGCCTGGACAGACCAAAAACCGACCATGCCGCTTGACAAATTCTCTCCTAACCCCACAGTGCCTCGTCCCTGAGATGGGAATCATCACCTCTGCTTTACAAATGAGATGACCAAGGGTTGGGGAGGAAAAAGGACTTACCCCTCAGCCCCGAGTCACCTCCTGGAGACTGAGGGAGCCAGGATGTGAATCTTCCCCCTGCCAAAGCCACTGACTCCACTATGCTGCCTCCAGAGAACCTGAGCCCTGCGGCGAGAAAGTGGCAGAGCTGGGCCTCGAACCTGGGTCCTGGACTCTTGGTCCCGTGCTCCTTGTGGAAGGTGGAACTGCTTCTTCAGGTGGGAACCTCACAGAGTCTGGGTGCCCTGGGCAGACAGGCTCTGGGCTGGCAGGGCAGCCACCACTTATTCTCCCTAATTGTCTCATTTGCGGTTGTGGGTGCCACACCTGGCCCCGAGAGCGTTGCGGAAGGAAAAGAACCTCTGCTTTGGTCTTCTCAGTTCCCTTCCTGGCACTGTGCAGTCGTGGAGGAGAAATCTGGGTTGAACCTGGGTCTGTGCTGATGAGAAGGGCCTGGCAGAAACCAAGAGTGGAGGGGTGGAACCACAGCTCCCCGTGGACTGCCCCGTCCTCAGTCCCCAGCGCCCCAGCTGCACAAAGGAAGTGACGACAGCCAGATGAAGGTGCGATGGTCCCCAGCTCTGGAAACTCCACCCTGGGAAATCAAAGGCCTGGGGTGAGCAGAAACGAGAAATATAAACACGCACAGGTTTCTGGTAACAAAAGCCTCCTGGCCTGGTGGCACCTGGGCATGACCCCCTTTGCCCAGACGACATTAGTCACTCATTTGGCTCTTGTGTTTGGATGGCCAAAGGCGGGCGATCGTTAAGGCATCTTGGGGTGTGAGGTGGAAAACGGAAGCCCCACAAGTGAAATTCTGAGGCTTGGGACTGAGCCACACCCTCCACAGCTGTTTTCACATTGTCTCTAAGCCTCAGCTCCTTAGAGACTCCGCCCTTCGTGGCCAAAGTCCCCATCAGTTACTACTTTTGGTGCTGGTAATTGGCTGGGATCTGTGAAATCTTCACATGTCATCTAAAACACACTCATATTATCTGGTAGCTAAACACTTATATTTGAGAGATGCTATAATGTAGTGGGTAAAAGCTCTGGATCGAAACCTTATTTCAGATCCCCAATCTGAACTTCCCAGCTGTGTGACCCTTAGCAAGTGACTCAGCCTCTCTGTGCCTCAGTACTTATCTGTCAAATGAGGATGATGATGATAATAATAGTACCTCCCTCATAGGACTGTGGTGACACTTAAATGAGGTAATACAGATAAAGTGCTTG